TATTTTATTATTTTTATTTTGTGTGTATGTGTGTATTGCCTGCATGTAGGTTAGTGCACCTGTGTTGTACAATGCCCATGGAAGTCAGAAGAGGCCATCGGATCCCCTGGAACTGGAGTTACAGACAGTTGTTAGCTGCCATGTGGGTGCTGGGATTTGAGCCCAGGTCTTCTGCAAGAACAACCAGTGTTCTTAACCACTGAGCCATCTCTCTAGCCCTAGTTGTTAAGCTTTTAAAAAATAATTAATATGAGCCCGGGTATGGTGGTACATTTCTTTAATCGCAGCACTCAGGAGGCAGAGACAGGCAGATCTCTGTGAGTTCAAGGCCAGCCTGGCCTCCATATCGAGTTCCAGGCCAGCTGGGGCTACAGGGAGACCCTGTCTCAAAAATAGATAAAATAATAAAATAAAAAATAAAATAAAATATAAAAATAGCTAATATATGCAACACTGAAGCATGCCTATTAGAAGCCAAATCTCAAATGTTCCTTCCTGTCACATTCTGTGTTTCCTGTCCTCCAAGAAGTGAAGAACTGCCCTCACACACTCCTACCACCATGATGATATACCGAAATGCATGGGGCCAAGTCAGCATGGACTGCACCCTCTGAAACCATGAGTCAGAATAATTTTTCCTCCTAGATTTCAGGCTTGTGTCACAGCAATAAGAAGTAACTGATATACTGTCAAATTTTTCCAAGTTATCTGCATCGTTTTATGTTCCCTTCAGCAATGTTAGAGGGTTCCAGGTTCTCAGTGTCCTCACCAACACTTGTTCCTTCCTTCCTTCCTTCCTTCCTTCCTCCCTCCCTCCCTCCCTCCTTCCCACCAGCTCCTCCTACATGCCCCCCCCCCTTCTTTTGAGACAGAATCTCACATGTAGCTAGCCCTGGCTAGCCTGGAAGTTGCTATGGAAACCAGGCCTCGACCTAAAAGACCCTCCTGCCTCTGCTTCCCAAGTGCTGAAATCATTCCATGTTCTTGATCTTACCTCTCTTTATAGACATGAGGCAATGTCTCCCTCACTCCCCATCACTATGTAGCAAACACCTTTTCATTAACAGAGTTTGTTTTTTATCTTCTTGCTCTACAAATAGAACTATATTTCTTAGACTAAACCCTAAAAGTGGGAATTAGGGCTGGAGAGATGGCTTAGCAGTTAAGAGCATTGGCTGCTCTTGCAGAAGACCTGGATTTGATTCCCAGTCCCCATGTGGTGGCTAACAATCCACCATAACTCCAGTTCCAGGGGATCCAATGCCTTCTTCTGACCTTTGAAGGCATTGTACACATGTGGTGCACTTACATACATGCAGGCAAATAAAGACATAAAATAAAAATAAAAAATAAATAACAATAGAAATGCCTATGCTCTCCCCTCTATACTCATACACAACTATACTGGCTCTGACAAGATTTTAGTTTTATGGAAAATTTTCCATTTAGAGGTATACCATCATTTACTTGTTCCCTACTATGCCCCAGTTGGGAGGACTATTTCTGCCCAAACCTCTTTATTTCCACAAGATAAATTCTAAGGCATAGAATGGCAGGTTTGAAGGCAGGTTCAGAACTGTGCCCGCATGACTTCTGACCCTGTATGTGTCTCTCCACAGGAAAGCTAGCGTATCATCAGTGCTGGAAATTTTCAGATTGTAATTTCGAATTCATTTCGACCAGATTAGAACTGCCAAAGATGCAATACAGATGCTGCCAGGAGGACATGTGTAATGATAAACTCCAAGAAAAGAACCATGCAGACTCCTTGTCTGGGAAGATGGTGCTGCTGGTGACCTCGGCTCTGGCAGTCATTTGGAACTTTTGTTTCTAAGCCCTTCACCAAGAGGGACTCTCCTAAGCTCCTTCCTTCTCTATTTTCCCCATTTCCTGCTGCTGCTGCACTCTAAAGCCTTTGTGATTTTCCAACTATAAGAATAAATTTTACTGGAACATTTTGGATAAGAAAAAGGGATCTAAGTAACTTGGAAGACCATCCTTTGCACAGGGAAGGCCCCTTGGAGAGAGAAGTTTTAGGGAGAAGGATGTGCAGTAGGTTATAGGCCTCTTCCTAAGCCCTAAAGAATTTACTTGGTAGTGACAGCTTAAGGGAGTTCTTGGTAATCCTCAGGGGTATCTGTCTGGTTCCTCAGATGTAGTTAAATAGTGTCATTTGTACCTTTGGGAGTAGCTGTGCTAAGAGAATTCTTTTCCAACATTCAGTCACATACATAGAATGCTTTCATGAACTTCACAGCTCCTGAGTTAGTGTGCTGAATATTCCAGATGTGTGCTATTAGTCTGGAGCAATAATTTTTTTTTTTCTAAACAAAGCTGAGGATCAAACTCAGAGTCTTAAGCATGCAGGCAAGTGCTTTACCCTTGAATCTCACTCCTAGGCCAAGCAGTGCGATTCTTAATACAGACTGAGTGGATTCACTATTCTATTCTCGGCTAGTGATGTGGGACATTGAAACATAAGATCTGAGCCAGCTGGGGTGGTACACACCTCTAATCCCAGCACTCAGGAGGCAGAGGCAGGAATTCCATAAGTTCAAGGACAGCCTGGCCTACATTGTGAGTTACAGGCTAATTAGAGCTATATTGTGAGACCCTGTCTAAAAAAATAAAAATATAGAAAGAGGAAAGAAGGAGGAAAGGAGGGAGGGAAGAAAGGAGAGAAGGGAAAAGGAAGGAACGAAGCAACAAAATTATTTTTAGAGAAGTACAGGTAGCTACAATTTGAGTTTTTTTCTTACATCTCTAAATTTGTATGGGTTTTTCTAGCTTTCACTAGAAGAATTTAATTGCCTAAAATAATGGTGTGCTAAATTTATGCCTTCTCTTTTTCTTAGAAAAGGGGATTATCTTGGCTTTTCTACACATAATTAAATAATGAACATTCTATGCTATGCGACAGGGAGTTTTGGGCATGCTTATTTTAAATGTTGCTAGCAGGAAGACCCTTCAGATGTGTGCTCATATACAATGAAAGCAATGGGACTAGACGTTGGGGCTGCCATCTGAGATGTCCTGATGTCATTAATAGCAGGCCAGCCAGCACATTTTGCCTGCCTGCATTCAGCTTGTGGACTCATGGCTGATTCAGTACAGAACACATTAAGTACATTTGCCAGGGCTGTTGGCATAGTCAGAAGTGATGGAGCTTGGGAAGTGTAGCCTCTTTCCCAAGAGTCCAAGTTTCTCCTTTTCTCTGTGGATGCTAGTGACTAATTTCCAAGATCCATAAACTTAAACCATATCTTAGGATTTGACTGTATTCGGTCCCCACAGCCTGACCTTTGTAAAGGAGGAATTCTTCATTAATAAAAAACTCTTCAAAAATGATGTTAAATCCAAAAATAGCATTAATTATATAAGAAAAAGCTCTCTTGATTATGTTATCTGTAAGATGAATCAAGTATATTATGTAAAATTTTAGCCAAAAATGCAATGATGCTTTTCTCAAAATAAAATCTAAGCAAATAGATGAGTGTGGTGATTGGACCAGAAGGGGAACAGCTTATACAGTGTGCGCATAGTAGCAACAAAGAGAAAAAATGCTGGGCAGAGTCACCTGTATCACTTTGGTACTCTATTTTCTCTCAGTTCAGCGTTTTTCTTTATACCATCTTTATTTCGTTCTCTGTTTCAAGACAAATGATCAGATCTCAGCCCCTGGCTGAGCAAAGTGTGAATTCATTAAGTTTTAAGCAACAAAACCTGATTTTGGCTCCCTTAAACAGAAAATAAATATATCTAATTTTATGGGAGGAAATGCATCCAAGACTCCCCAAAGCCAGGAACTTTGCTGTTCCTGAAGTCTGTCTTATGATACAAATTCCAGTGTAAGACTGCCTGACTGGGATCTTGGATCATATATCCATTTCCTAGCCAGAGTTCACTGGGGAAAAGGTAATTTAAAACTAGGGCTAGAGAGATGGTTCAGAGGTTAAGAGAACTGGCTGCTCTTGCAGAGGACCCCAGTTCAATTCCCAGCACCCACATGGTGGTTAATAACCATCTGTACTGTAGTACCAGGGGATCCAACACTCTCTTCTGGCCTCTGCAGGCATTGCATGACATGGCTGCACTCACATAAAAATAAATTAAAAATTTTTTAATTTGTGTGTGTGCGTGCATACACATGTGGCATGTGCCACAACACACCTGTAGAAGTTCTCTTCTTCCACTATGTGGGACCTGGGGATCAGGCTCAGGCAACCAAGCTTGGAGGTTAGCATTTTTACCCACTGAGCTATCTTGATTGCCCAAGAAAAGGTAGTTCTTAAAGTCAGAACCTGGTGCTACTAGGTGGGAGAGGGGAGACTGGTCAGTTAAAATCATCCAGGGTCATATGAATGACCGTTAGCCTTGAGGTTTCTTTCTGCAAAAAGTTGCTGTACTCCTGCCATAGACTATGGGTTGGGTGCCTGGACCTACAGGCAGGTCTGCCAAGGCCAGATGAGTGGACAGCCAACCATCTTCCAATTTCACAGAAACTATTGTTCAGTACCAGGCTAGGTAGTGACAATTCCATTGGGTCTTCTTTAGGGGATGAGCTGTGGGCTCAAGATAGACTCGTGGGTTGGCAAATAGAACCCATATATACCCTGAAGGATTGCTGACCAATATCCAACTTATTCTTGGAAGTACTGCAATTCAAGGTATGGGCAAATTCCTATTGTATCCTTGGAGTCTGCCCATGCATAACATTCTATGTATCCTGACAAAATAAGAGCCTGCCTAACTCTGTTTTTCTCCATGTTTTGGATTTGAACCTCCTGAAGGAATGAACCATATGTCCAGATGTATATATGCATCTTCATTCTCCATAGGGTCAAGTGATTTATCTTGCTCAAAGTAAGTCCTTTATCAGTCTTCAAAGCCTTTTAGCTTATACTGGTTTCTGCTGCTTATAAACATCTAAACTGATGCTAGATGATCCTCACTAAGACCTGCTTGCTCTGCAAAGCCAGAGCTATCTTACAGTCAGTGTGAAACAAGATCAAGTGGGCTCCTACTCTCTGTACCTTAAGTACATTTTCATCTGTGCTTCCATCTCACCTTCTATAGGAGTTGGAGCTGGGGCTAGAGAGATGGCTCAGCAATTAAGAGCACTAGCTGCTCTTGCAGAGTACCCAAGTTTGAGTCCCAGCACCCACTTGGCAGCTAACAACCATCCAAAACTCCAGTTCCAGGGGTTCTGATGCCCTCTTCTGACTTCTGAGGCATTGTGTGGCATGGGTACACTTACATGTAGGCAATACATTCATACACACAAAAATCTTTAAAAAGAGTTGGAACTACAAAAGGCAATAAGATGACAGGATTCCCAGTGAGCTCTGCAGGTCAGCCTCCCTCTACCCTGCCTATTTGCTTAGTCTTTAGTGTATTTCATGGTGAAGGAAACTTGGGATAGGACCCTGGTGCTTTTTTACTTTGAAGAAATCAATGTCTGTCTCTGTTTAGAAAAGAAAACATTAAGTGCATCTGCTTGCTACTGAAAAGTTTGCCAAGAGTGTGATGTTTGCAGGACATCAATCAGGCCTTCTGTAAACAAGATCATTTCAAAACACCATCTGTCACAGTCTGTTTCTAAATGCCCACTGCTTTTTGCAGACAATTCCGGATAACATCAGTTAAGTGTGTGGGTTTAATATTTGGAAATGTGTTCAAATCCTGCCTCTTCCATTAATTGGCTATGTGTCTATTTAAACACACACACACACACACACACACACACACACACACATTTTGAGACAGAGTCATATGTATCACAGACTGTCCTTGTAATCACTGTATAGCTGAAGATGATCTTGAACATATGATCCTCCTGCCTCTACCTCCTGAGTGCTGGGATTACAGATGTGTGCCACCATGCCCAGTTTATTAGGTACTAGGGATGAACGCAGGGATTCATTCATGGCAGGAAAGGCAAGCCCTCTACAAACTGAGCTACATCCCAAGTTCTGTTTATTGCTTTAAATGGAAAAAAAAAATCCTCAACTTTCTGTTTTAGGCTTCTGCACCTACATTAGGGATTGTTATGCTGTTTGAAGGGAAATGCACTTGTGAAGAGTATTAGAAGTAGCATGCAGGCTATAATAGACGTTAGTTATTGGCCTGCTATGGTTTGTATCATAAATGTTTCCCCAAACCTTATGTATGAAAGGTTTAGTCCCCACCCCATAGAGCTATTGGGAGATGGTAAGATCTTTAGGAGATGGGACCTAGTTAAAGAAAGTTAGGTCACTGAGGGGCACGCCCCTGAAGGGGATATTGGGACCTCATGTCCTTCCTTTCTCTTTGTTTTCTGGCTGTCATGAGGTAAACAGCTTTGCTTTGCCACACACTCCCTACCATGATGCTCTGCCTTGCCACAGATCTAAAAGCAATGGAGCCAACCAACCATACCTGAAGCCTCTGAAACTATGAGCCAAAATAAACTTTCTTCCTTTATAAAGTATTTATCTCAGAGGTGGTGTCACAGTCACAGAAAGCTGCTTAACATACCAGAAGACAGAGTTGTTAAGACTACTGAGGCCTCAGATGTACAGTGAATCATGTTTATCCCACTGACTGATATAAACAGAAGTGAACTTTTCAAGTTTCTTACATTATCAAAATGAATTTTTTGATGGATAGTCTTATTTTTTTCAACTAAGTTTTCCCGTTCTACACATATTACTCGGGACTAAGAAGGATGAGCACACTGAGTGCCTACATCCTCTCTCCAGTGGACAAAAGGATGTTTTCTTTTCCCCAGCTGCTACATAGGTCCAAGCCTCCTGGCAGAAGGAAAAACAGCTCTTGCCCTGCAGGGGCCAAACTGCACTGAACTGGGAGACTCATGCTTCCTTGACTGTGAAATGGGTATATATTTTCTGAGATGCTGCCCTCAGGCTATTGTTTTCACCTTTGTTACTCTTGGCTCTGGAAACCTAGATGTGGACATAAGATAGTAATGCCTTATATTGACTTTACATGTCTCAATCACAGTCCATCATTGAGGGAAGTCAGAGCAGGAACTCAAGCAGAGACCATGGGGGAATTGCTTACTGGCTTGCTTCCCTGGGATGGTACCACCTACCACGGGCTGGGCCCTCCTACTTCAATCAGCAGTTAAGAAAATGCCTCACAGACAAGACACAGGCCAATCCGGTGGAAGCAATTTCTTAAGTGAGGTTCCCTCTTCTCAGGTGACTGTAGTTTGTGTCAAATTGACAAAACCAGCACACCAAAGACTACCCCAGCCCACACATTTTTGAGCAGCTGAGCCAAAGCTAGCAACTACTTATCTCTGGATTGTTTATGCAAAAAAATCTGACTGATTATACTACTTGAAGTTGGGTTGTCTTGCTTGTGGCTGAATACCTAAGAGACGCACAATTTCAACAGCAAATTATTTTATTATTCCTTGGGTAACCTTACTCAGGTGGAACTCCAGGAGAACATGCCCATTATTTTTTGGTTGGGGGAGCTGCTTTTAGTGATAGTTCCCCCAAGACTAAAAGGATGGATATAATTTTCCAAAAGGTAACTGAAGATTCTGTTACCAAAAGGGAGGGGAACAGAAGCCAAGTGGCAAAGAACCAAATCCCCACTGCAGCAGGTCACATCATTGCCACTGATGAGATGCCCAGGCTCTTCAGTTAATTTCACTGCCTCCCACAGCTCAGGGAGGATGGTGGCTTCATTCTCATCCTGTTAACCCTTTTCACTAGTAATTGTTTCAGTCAAGGAGTTTGGGTTGCAAGAAATAGAAACTTTTCCAATAAGTTCAAAAACCAGAAAATAGCAGAAGGGGTTATAATAAGGATAACTGAACCCCAGGGCAGAGCTGCTTAAACCCCTGACACGCCAGTCAGATCAGGTGCCATCTGTAATCTTTAAACACTTGCTGGGTTTGGGTATGGGCAATAATATTCATGCTGAAAATCGAGAAAATTTAAGTGAGCTGGCATACTGATAGTGCACAAAATAAGCTTGCAAGTTGGAGCTAGGTTTGCTGAGATAGACCTGTAATCCAACCTGCCCAGGTAGCTGAGGCAGGATGATTTAGCCTTCAAGGCCTGCCTAGGCAACTTAACAAAACTTGTCTCAAAATAAAAAATGAAAGGGTTAGAGATGTAGCTGAGTGTAGAGCACGTGTCCAGCCTATAAAAGGCCCTGGATTCAAACCCTAGTACTGTGAAAATAACCCCTCAGATTCCAACCACTACACTCATTGTTGAAAAGTTATTATGTGCCAGGTCTTATCAGGTTCATACAAGTAATATTTATGAATTACAACTCAAAATTTTAGTTCTGGCCCCCGTATCAGATCATACCAACATGAGAACTACCTAAGTCATGTAAACCAAATTGATTGAGACATGTAAACCAAATAAATCCTTTTTTCCCAAGTCCTTTTGGTCATGGTGGTTATCATAGCAATGGAAACCTAACAAATACAGTTGGTATTCTTGGTCTTTCTCTCAGAAGTACAAAGTGATCACAGAACTTACTGCACTGAATTCAAGATCAAGGCAGGAAGAAACGATGAAGAGAAAATTCAAATGTTTCCATCTGGGAAAGTAAGATCTTTCCCAGAAAACTCCCAACTCTCTTCTGAGCATATCCTCTGGCTAGAACTGTCTTGTAGACCTTAGCAGCAAGAGGGATGGGCAAAGCTAGTATTTTCTTTTTCCAGCCTCTATGAGTCAAGGAAGCAAAGGAAAAGGGCTGTGATTAGTATAGCCACTGGGATGCCAAACAGCAGCAACTCTACCCCAATGGCCATATTGAAGGGCCTATTGATTCCTTCCTGCTCCTGAGTGCTGAGGCTGCCCTGGGCTCTGCTCCTTCTGAACTTAACTCTCGAGCTTTCAATCTCGTTGTGGTTTGGATGTGAAATATCCCTTACAGGCTGATGTTTATACTACTTGGGCCTCAGCTAAGGATGCTATTTTAAAAGGTTCTGGAAACTTTGGGAGGCAGGGCCTAGCTGAAGAAGTAGACCAAACTAGTTGGTTTTGGTTGATGGGGTTTACCCAGATGTCTGACCTTCCAAGTTTCTTCACACCCTATTCCCCTGAGCTACCTCTCAGGCTTCAGTTTCATTAATTTGTTTATTTTCATTTTTGCTTCATCTAAAAGTACATAGGAACACATCTATCTGGGAAAACAAGCACAAAGGCTGGACTACATTTTGGGGAAAATTTCTTGAAATAGTGGCAGTTGTAAGGAAGGTGGGAATGCCTGAGCCACCAAGTCCACTAGCACAATGGTCAGTTCAGAGGGGGAATAAAGAAATGGCTGTTCTGTGTTTCTAAGAATAGTATTTCCCTCAGATTATAGCCCAAACAACTCCCAGTGAGAGCCATTCTACTGCCACAAGAGGGGTGGGAAACCAGACTCCAGGAAGATAGCCTTGGCCTAGCCATGGAGGGACACAGGGGTTCGCCCCCGTCTTTTTTTTTTTTTTTTTTTTTTTTTTTTTTTTTTTTTGGTCTTTTTGAGATAGAGTCTCACTGTAGCCCCAGCTGTAGATCAGGCTGGCCCTGAACTCACAGAGATTTGCCTGCCTCTGCCTCCAGAGTGCTAGGATTAAAGGTGTGCACCACCACACCCCGACAAGGGTCCCTTCTAAAAACAGGTTCTTAAACCAGCATGGTGGTACATGCCTTCAATTCCAGGACTCAGTAGGCAGAGGCAGGTGAATCTCTGTGAGTTTAAGGCCAACCTGGTCTACATAGTGAGTTTTAGGCCAGCTGGGGCTACAGGGAAACCCTGTCTCAAATAATTAAAACAAAAAAAAATAAGAGCAGGTTCTTGGTGTCACAGATAAAAGAGTTTTTAAAACAGATGCAGAGGGAAACTTGGAGACTATTAGAGTTAGAAAACAGTAAGGCATACAAACCTGGAGGAAGAGGGAAAGTGGGGAGAGGAAGGCTATCCTTTCTGAGTCAGAAGCAGAAACTGCACAGATTCAGCAGTGACATCTGGCAACAATTGGAGTTGGGGTAGTTGTATATAAATACATATCTGGTTAATGGGACAGTTACTCAGCCTACTTCCTTAGCCTATTTCCTTAGGTGTACCTACCATGTATTTCTGTCCACCTTTTGGCACAGGTTCATCTTGTTTAGGTAGTCAAACACCCTTTCCTCTTTAACATGGGGGGGTGTCTTATCTCAAAGGAGGCCCTTCTCTTTCTCCCTCCTCCCTCTCTCCCTCCCACCCCCCCTTTCCTTGTAGCTCTAGCTGGTCTAGAACTCTGGTCTCCATCTCACAGAGATCCGCCTGCTTCTGCCACCTGAGTGCTGGGATTAAAGGTATGCACCACTACTTATGGCTACTTATCTCTATTTTATAGAAAAATGACAAGTCAAACAACCTGCCAGGTGGTGATACTTGCCTGTAATTCCAGCAGGCAAAGAGGCAGGAGGACTGCTGTAAGTTTGAGACCACCCTGATCTACTAGGGAGGTCTAAGGCCAGCTTAGGCTACATACTGAGTTCCAAGCTAGCTGGGGCTCCTTAGCAAGACCTTGTCTCAAAAAACAGAAACAAACAACTTGCCCACCATCCCAGTTTGGATAACTGCCCCAACACATACATAGCACATACACAAACACAGCATTCACTGTTGGAGCTACGGCTGACTGAGCTTGATTGTCCCCCATCCATCCATGTTCACTCACACCAGTGACTGTGAAGAAGCTCTCAAGATTTATTTCCCCCTAGTCGATGGCTAAAGTATACTCCCAGGCTCATAGGAAGGAGCTGTCCGTGTCCCTTGAGCAAAGCCTATCCTCAGGAATGGGTGTGGTGTTTGAGGTGGGCCCAAGAGGATTTCCTTTTGGTGGCTCAGTTTCCTGTGAGCTCCTGGCAACGTGTTTTACTGAAAACACTGTCAAAGATATTACAAATCCAGACCACCTCCCCTTTTCCAGAATCTTCCACAACACTGCTAAATTTAGCAAAAAAAAAGCCCTTCCCAACCAGTCCTCTGTAGAGAATGAAGACAGCCAATGACAGGTTGTTAGTAAATATTTTCTTTCCCTGCTAAGAAGGAGGGCAAAGCTGAGTTTCTCTCTAAGCCTTGGCCAGCTCCCTGTTTCCTGCCTTTGGCCGTGGTGCGCAGTCTTTGGATCTGAGAGCTGCCCCCAGCCCTTAGACTTGAAAGGCAGTGGGAGGAGCTTAGGGACCGGGCGGGAATGGGAACGAGCTCTATTGAGCGGACAGTGTAGCCGCTGGCAGAGCGGAGAGGAGAGGTGTGGCTTGCAGGGGGCCCCTTTGGCCCAGAGACATTGGGCTCGGGGGCGTGGCCGCCCCCAAGCCCCGCCTTCTCAGGGCGGTGCCACAGCGAGGGGTGTGGCCGCGCTCTGTGGGGCGTGGCTTGTGGAACCTCGGAACTCCTAGACGCGGGCCCTGGCTCGTGTCTCCCCGCGCGGGGTTCCTTTCACGCAGCCTCCTATTCAAAAGATGCCGAAGGGGCGGCGCGGCAGCCAGAACCCCAAGATGAGCCAGCGGCCGGCCTCGCCTCTCTATTTCCCGTCGCTCTACGACCGCGGCATCTCGTCGTCTCTGCTTAGTGACTTTAACATCTGGAAGAAGCTCTTCGTGCCTCTGAAGGCGGGCGGGGAGCCAGCGGCTGGCGTGGCCGGGGGGGGCGGGGGCGCCGAAGAGGCCGGAGTGGCTGGGCTCCGACCCCCCGCCGTGATGCCGCCGCCGCCTCCAGGCCTGGGTCCCCCCACCGAGCGCCCATGTCCCCCCTGGCCATCCGGCATAGCCTCCATCCCCTACGAGCCTCTACGCTTCTTCTACTCGCCGCCTCCAGGGCCCGAGGTGGCAGCCTCCGCCCTAGTCCCCGGCCCCACGACCCCCTGGCTCGCCTCCGCCTCCCACCCGGAGGAGCTGTGCGAGCTGGAGATCCAGATTAAGGAACTGGAGCTGCTCACCATCACTGGGGATGGCTTCGACTCCCAGCGCTGTGCGTGTCTGCTCCATACCATTCCAGCCCAACCTCAGCAGTTCCTTGCTTGACTCCACGTCCTGCCCTTGAATGTCCCCCTCAGGCCCAGTCCCCAGCCCTAGGAGTCCCACACCCCAAATCTTTCCTCCAGAGGTCCAGACCCCACGTGCTGGATTTCAACCGACCCCTGTTGAACCACATACCTGAACTTCCTCAGCCCTTTAAGTCCTAAACTCCATCCCTCAGGGGATCACTCTTGGGAGGTATTTTAGGCTCTGAGTCTTCACACCTGGAACTCCACCCACTAGTACCAGATCCTGAGTTTGACCTTCCTGCACAATAATACCCCATTTCTGTAATCTGGAGCCCAGCCCACCACAGACTGCCTTTATCTCTAGAGATAAAGTAAACTGGGGTCTGTGGGTGGGAGGAGAGAGAAGTAGATGAAGATCAGTTAGGAAGGTAGTAATTGCCCCAACCTGGTTCACCCAGACCATTCCCTTTGCAGCGCTCCTGGGTAGCATCACCTGGACCTTGTAGCTCTGTAGCCCTCTGGCTAGGATCCTGGACTCTGTCATTTGATCTTGGGTCTGTGGTCTTAGGGAGTTGAACCAGGGCCAGCAGGCCAAGTGTGCTGATGGAAGCAAGGGTCCTCTGGTATATGAACTGATACCTCCCTATTGGAGAATAAGGCAGTTATATCCAACTGTCTTTCCTGAAAGACCGGTTGCACAGTAGTTAGTAGCTATAGGCTAATTCTTTTCCATCACCTGTTGTAAGGCTTGCATTTGATCTTCTGGAGGAGGGCAGATGGTTCTGGAATGATGATTCCAGCTGTTCTATACAACAGGTTAAACTGGCCCCCTCTGTCACACAGGGAGGTGAAGTATGAAATAATTTATATGCTTAGGTCTGCATGGCCACGAGAATGGTCCCCAGTCCATTGGATGCTCTGTGGCATATCCTTTCACATAGCTAAGTGAGAAAAACAGTCCCTAGAAGAGCTGACCTTTTCAAGTATATATTCTCTTGTAAGATAAGTAGATATGTTGTGCTGTTAAATTTTAGGTTCACAACTGTTTCTCAGAAACTTGTTCTGGAAGTGTTAGAGCTTCTTTCTCAGAGCTAAGGTGGCACACACTTGTAATGTCAGCACTCAGGAAGCTGAGGCAGGAGGATTAAGCATTCCAGAATAGCCTGGCACTACATAGGAAGACCCTGTCCAAAAAAAAAAAAAAAAAAAAAAAAGCCATTCTGCCGTTCTACAGTTCAGTTTGTTTTGCTCCCCTGCAGATAAATTCCTGAAGGCGCTGAAAGATGAAAAGTTACAAGGACTGAAGATGACCAGGCAACCTGGAAAGTCAGCCTCTTTCTCCTGAGGAACTGCCCCTCCAGAGCTGGGCAGCCACCTCCTTAGGTGTTAGTGCTTAGATAATGTGTCCTATTTGTTGTCATTTCAAAGATGGTTATTTTCTGTTCTGTATTTACTACTGTTATTATTGCTCCCAGAATGCAGTCAACATACAGTGTCCACTTGCATGAAAACCTTATAGTCTCTCTCCTCTGTGCTGACATACTGTGTCCATTGCATGGTAAACCTCATAGTCTCTCTGTGCCAATGCTGGGATCTCCCTCATGGGGTATAGAAACTGCTGTCTGGGTTGCCTTTCAGAGTCTCTTGTGACCAGAGCAGGGGACCCAGCACTGCCAGTCATATAAACCAGGGTGACTGTTGTGTAGAAGAGAATGGGGAGCAAGCACAGGCAGTATATTGCTTCTGATGCTGTATCTCAGCCAGAAAGAGTCTTGAAGGACTAGAACTAAAACTAGAATTTTGAGGGTTGGAGAGATTACTCAGCAGCTAAGAGCACTGACTGCTCTTGCAGAAAACTCAGATTCAATTCGTAGCACCCATACGGCAGCTAACGACTGTAACTCCAGTTCCAGGGGATCTGACACCTTCTGGCCTCTGTGGGCTTTGTACAATTCAGGTGCACTTACACACATGCAGGCAAAATAATCATGCACATAAAAAAAAAAAAAAACCTAGACTTAATTTCCCTCCCTCCCAACATCATTAGTCGTTGGAAGTGCTTGTCTTGTTTTTGTTTTTAGAAGTATTTTTTTGAGCGAGGCCTGGTGGCATATGCCTTTAATTCTAGCATGCAGGAAGCAGAGGCAGGCAGATCTCTGTGAGATTGAGTCCAGTCTGGTCTACAGTAGTGAGTTCCAGGCCAGCTGGGTCTACAGGGAGACCCTGTTTAAAAAAAAAAAAAATTATTTTTAACCACAAAACTCTGATAACCTTATCAAAGACATGCCTTTTTAAGAATTTGTATACATATTCAAGAAATATTTGTTAAGTGCTTATTATATGCCTAGATTCTCACCTAGGCTTTTGGAATGGGGGATGGAGAAAAGCTGAATCAGAAATATTTTAGTTAATTAATTTCTATTTTATGAGTATGAATGTTTTGCCTGCATGTATGTAATTGCATCACTTATGTGCAAACCCGTGGAGGCCAGAAGAAGGTGTTGGATCCCCTGAAACTGGAGTTACAGATGGTTGTTAGCCACCATGTGGGTGCTAAGAACAGAACCCAGGTCCTCTGCAAGTGTAGCTAGTGTTCTTAAGTGCTGAGCCATCTCTCCAGGCCCCCCTCCCCCCGAAGTATTTTAAATAAATCACAAGATTGGAATCATAGAAGATGACAAGCTAATGGGGGGAAAAGCAGGGTAGGGTAAGGCTACCCAGACAGGTCCTAAGGAATACAGGATAGAGTTTCAAATAGGGTTTCTTTGAAGATATATCATGTTTTATTGTTTTGAGATTGAGTCTCACTATGTAGCCTGGGCTGACCTCAAACTCCAAATCCCCCGTCTCCCAAGTGCTAGGATTACAGGCATGTGCCACCATGCCTCTGCAAAAGGTAGCATTTACACAGGGTTTGGAAGTGATTGATGAACATAGGTATGTGGAGGATGTTCCATGCAGAAGGGCCAGTGCAAAGGGAACATGGCAGCATTTATGAGAGTTAGTAAACAAGCCAGATGGAAGAGCAGAAGGTGTGAGGGAGGAGTAATGGGGTGAATGCAAAGGAGTCCATTCATGTAGGGTTTAAGAGCCAAGACAGGGACACAAGGTCCTTGTGGAGTGAAGGGAGTCCTTAGAGGTTTTCAGTGGAGGTACAGCATAATCTAGGGCTACAGATTCTCCTCGCTGCTTTGCTGTGAGTAGACTGCCAGTGGTGCAAAGAAGCGTGGAGAGCAGTCAGTAATCAGTAACACAGCCAAAAAGATTATGCTGATTGTAGTGCATGTGGCTGAGAACAGGCCATTGGTGTGGGTAGTTTTTGTGGTCAGAGATAAGAGCACAGGTCAGACAAGTTCTGGGGAGATCAGAAATTGAATTTGAAGTTCTGAGTCTCCTAGAAATCTGGTGGGAGGCTGTTTGGTTGTGGCTGGTTCAGGACAAGGCCTGGGCTGGAAGTAGAAGTTAGGGAGCTACTGACAGGTAGATATCTTTAAACGATAAGATCACATGAAACCCCTGCAGGAGTGTATGTAGAGGAAAAAAGGACAGAGAACCCCTGATCCAACTATTTGTAATACAAAATGCTCCAAAATCCGAAACCTTGAGCACTAACTTAACATCACAAGTGGAAAGTTCCCCATTGTGAAACTTTGTTATGTGCACAAAATTATTAAAAATATTTCAGCTGTGTGTGACACAGACTGAAGAAAACTAGGAGAGAGTGACCAGCTCTGACAGATAATGTTGACACAGGGCAGGCGAGATGTCTCAGTGGGAAAAGATGCTTTCCACCAAGCCTGACAGCCTGAGCTCAATCCTCATGACTCACATTTTAGAAGGAGAGAACTGACTCCTGAAAATTGCCAGGTGCTACAGCAACTGTGCACCCTTTTCCCAATAAATATTTTTTGAAAATAGTGCTGACACAACATAAGGTAAGCCTGAGAGTCCACTCAGATTTAATAGCATACATTTTGTATTGGTGATCGAGAGCAATTTTAGTTGAATGGGAGGACCAAGGCCTGAATGGGGTAATTTTAAGAGATGCTGAGAAGAGGTCGATGGAGGCTCTTCACTCCTTGGGTTGGCTAAAGCCATAGCCAGTAGAATAGGAAGTGATCAGAGAAGACTGTTGTTAGGATGGGAAGAGCTGCATGTTTGTGTTCTGAAAGGAATAGTCCAACAGAGAGAGAGAGAGAAAGAAAAAACGATAGAGCTGGAGAGGGTCGGAATTACTCCTGTAGCATTCTTGCATTTGCAAGAGGGATGGTGTCTTCATCAACTCCTCGAACAGAATTCCACAGAGATCTATAAATTGTTCCTCACATTTTCACAGACTGGGAAGTCCAAAGATAAAGACACTGATAGGATAGGTTAGAAGCCTGGTCTCTGCCTTCAAAGTGGCACTTTAAATGCTACATCGCCTGAGGTGTGGGGGCACTGAGAGGTGTGGGTGGGTAGGGACTGGGGAATGGTCCATATTGTGTCCTCATGTGGCAGAAAAAGCAGGAGATGGAACTCACTTCCGCAAGCCAGTTTCACAGATGTATTAATTCATACACAAAGGTGGGACCCTCATGACCTAAACACCTCTGCAGCACCCCACTTTCCACCTTACACAGTTGGACTAAAGATTGAGCTTTCAAAGTAAATTCTGGATAACACAGAAACACCATGGCCCAGGATATCTAATTCTCAGTGGAGAGACTGGTTTAGAAGGAAGCACAAATGACATTGCGATAATAGGAAGTTGTGTGTGGTGCAGATGCTGGGGAGTGATTTAAATGGGGGTGGTGGGAGCCCTGGGAATTGCATATACATGCACATGGGTTTGTGCAGCAATATCCAGCTTAAGGATGCAGATGTGCATGTCTCCAAGGCCAGACTGGAAACCATGGAGTTGGGAGATGGGAGCCAGGTAGGACTGGAAAGCTGTGGGGCTTGAGGCCAATGTTAAAGGCAACAGATTCTGAGTACAGTCAGTCATTGTCAAGGTTGGTGTGTGGGCACAGGGAGCAGGTTTCTTGGTTTCTCAGTCTTAACAACTAATTCAGAATGGTTCCAAAACACTATGCAGGCCAAATCAATGAAAGAAAAAGTCCCTTGAGTAGGATCATCCCACGTTGGCAGGGACTTGGATCCTCTCTCTACTCCTTGACTGTGCTAGTTGCTATGAAAGATGCTCTAGTTTTCCCTGAGAACTTCAGGCTTCTGGGTCATTGACTATTGGGGCTGGAGAACCTTATTGTAAATAAGTGAGCATCATCCAGGCAACCAGAAATCCCAGCCCAGAACTCAAATGGAGACAGAGATGTCCCAGGGGACTTGTGGTCTATTACCTTACCGGAGTCAAGAAAGTTCTTCACAGGCTATATCAGAAGAGTGCTCAGGTATTGCAGTTGGCCAGAACATCTCATTAATTCTCCCTGATGTATTGTGAGACAGGTCCCATTTAGTATATTTTCCAAATGAGAAACATAGGACTCAGAGGCAAGTCCCTTCCCCACAGGTGGTTCAGGCCTGCAATCTTAGCACTTGGAAGGTTGAAGCGAGAGGATCACAACAAGTTTAGGACTAGTTTGACCCACACAGTACTAGGCCATGCAGGGCTACATAGCAAGAAAATGTCTCCAAAAAACCAAAACGGGCTGGGGAGATGGCTCAATGGGTGAGGGTACTTGTGCAAGCATGAGAACCCATCTGAATCCATAGCATCCATAAAAAATGCTGGGCATGGCCACAAGTGACTGTAATCCTGGTGCTGGGGTTCAGGTAGAGACAGGAGGGTTGTTGGGGCTTGTGGGCCAGTCAGTCTAGCTTCAGGTTCAGCCAAAGACCTTGTCTCAAGGGAATAAGGCAGAGAGTAATAGAAGAGGGCACCTGATGTCTTCATCTGGCCTCCCTGTATACACACACACACACACACACACACACACACACACACACACACAAATACAACTTCCCCTAATAGCTCAACAAAACAACCCCAAACCAAAAAAGAGGCCCTAGTGATCTCTCAATCTCTCTCTCTCTCTCTCTCTCTCTCTCTCTCTCTCTCTCTCTCTCTCTCGTTTCCTCTGAACAACACAAAGACACCTGGCATGTCTTCTGAGGGATTTTGACCCCCTTACATCTCCAAGTCATTCTCCTAGTGTTCTTGGAGTGAGAGGCGACACAGCAGGCCATGGAGGATGGTAAGCTCTGACTGCTTAGTGCCCATACACAGCTGCCAGTACATTCACACTGGGTGGGGCCTCCTAGTCTGGATCCCTTGAGATAATGCCAACCCAGCCTTCCTCAAACGGTTGCATGAGGCAGCAATAGTTAGAATTCATTCACATCCACCAGCATTGACCCATTTCCTGCAGACAAATAGGAGAAAACA